GAGAGAGAGAGAGAGAGAGAGAGAGAGAGAGAGAGAGAGAGAGAGAGAGAGAGAGAAACGAAGAGAGAGAGAGAGAGAGAGAGAGAGAGAGAGAGAGAGAGAGAGAGAGAGAGAGAGAGAGAGAGAAAGAAAGGGTCCGCTCGGGCACGACGCCCGAATTGCCCACTGAAGTGAGCTGCCCACTCAGGTGCGATCCCCCCAATCACATTTGAGCCAAAATGGCAACGGAGGAGGAGGAGGAGGAGGAGGAGGAGGAGGAGGAGGCCCGCAGGATGCCCCAGCATGGGGCCAGAGGCCTGCCTACCAGTCTTGGCCGCAGCCTGTCGGCCTGCCTTCCCCGAGGCGGCTGGGGCGCTCGCGCCTCCGCTGCCGCGCGCAGAACCCAGACAGCCCGCCCGGGGGGCCAACGTGGCTAAATGGCACATTGACGCAAAGCGCACCCGTGCCTCTTGTACTTGCTTCGCCTCCTCGTGCAAGGGCCCCATCACCAGAGGGGATCTGCGCGTCCGCAGCGCCGCCAGCACAATAAATCTGCGGTGGTGCCACGCCAGCTGCGTTGAAGGCGGCCTGGGGCCCCAGGGTGACCTCGAAGGCTTCGCCGACCTCCAGCAGGAGGGCCAGGCCAAGGCCCAGGACTTCTGCGACCATCCAGGCGGAGTCTCGAGGGCGCAGTACGTCGAGACAGCCCGGCGGACCAAACGGCAACGGCGAGGGGCCGCAGACCCAGGAGACCCCATCCCCTTCTGATGGGGGAGCCCATGAAGCACTTCGACGAGTTGCCAGAGGACCAAAGCCCCGCGAATGGCGACGACCGACGCCTGGGAGAGGAGCTGCGGAACATGGCGTGGTGGGACACGGTGGACTTCGCGGAGCTGGAGAACTGGATCCCTACTCTGGGGCGCACACCCCGGGACGTGCACCACGGCCTGGCGCTAGGGGGGGGGCGGCGTGTCGGGACATCCGCCGCGCGCGGGAAACGGGCGACGCCGTGGCGGGAAGCAGAGCTTGCAAACTCTTTACCTTCATGGACCGGCTGGCGCTGACTGTCACGCGGGGCACAAAAGGGGGTCGAACACACAAGGGCACGCTGTCCTCTACAATCACCGCCCGGCTCCGGCTGGCCTGGAAGGGCGACTGGGCAGTCTCTGGCGAGACGCGGCAGCAACTGTGCAAGACAGCCCGCGGGCGGCAGCCCGGGGGAGAACCCCAGCAGAGGACGCCCGCTCAGTGAGTTCGCTGGTGCGGGACGGGCTGTTGAGCAAGGCGCTGGCTGTGGTGCTCCGCCAAGGTGCAGTGCTGGTGGGCCCAGAGGTGCACGCCGCCCTCGTGGACCTGTTCCCGCCGGGCGCTTTGCCGGAAGGCCTGCCCCCCCCCCCCCTCCTGTGGCGCCGGAGGCCCAGGCGGACCTGGTGGACGCCGTGCGCCCGAACCTGACACGCTACCCGGCGCGCTCTGGGCCGGGCCCCAACGGGTCCCGTTTTGAGCACTGGGCCACTGCCGCAGCCGACAGCGAGGCGACCGACCACGTCAGCCAGGTGGCGGTCATGTTCCTGCTCGGGGAGTGCCCTGCTGATTTTCTCAAAGCGAACTTGGGAGCTCGCCTCGTGGCTCTGCGAAAGCCCAACGGCAAAGTCCAGTCCGTGGCGTGCGGGCCTGTGCTGCGGCGCATTGCTGCGAGGGCTGCGTGCCATGTGTTTCGGGAACAGTTGATGCACGCCTGTGGGCCGCACCAGTACCGCACTGGTGCGTGGTACGCAGAGGGACGACAAGCCGGGCGCGAAAAAGTCCACGAAGCAGTTGCGGCAATGACGGCGGCATCGCCCGCAGACTTGGTGTTGACGCTCGACGCCACCAACGCGTTCAATACTATGCTGCGCCAGAGAATCCTTGCGGGAATGGTGGCGCGGATGCCCGACCTGTACCAGGCGGCGGCCGTGTGGCTGGGCACGGGAACCACGCACTTCTGGTGGGGGGCCGGCGGAAAGGCCAAAGCGGTGAGAGCCAGGAAGGGGGTCGACCAGGGCTGCCCGCTCTCGCCCGCCTACTTTGCCTTAGGGCTGGCGGAGGCGTTGTCCAACATCGACGCTCGCCTGCGGGCCGCGGCGCCGACTGCCCGGGTCTCTTCCTACTTGGACGACGTGACCGTGGTGGTGCCCGCGGCGCACACAATGGTCGAGGAGTTGACGCGAGCAGGACTTACCATCAACGAGGGCAAAACAGCGGCGTGGACCCGAGACCCAGCGACGCCACTTTCGCCGCTTCTCGAAACTTTGCGGACACCGGCTCTCCGCTGCCTGGGGGCCGCCGCGCCCTGGGTGGAACCGGAAGACCCGCTGGCGAGGCTCGCAGTCCACAGGCAGGCTGACGGCGACGAGGCCGTGCGGGCCGCAGAGCGATTGGTCATCCGACTCCAGGAATTGCACGGCGCCGGACTTGGGGCGAGGGAGAGCTTCTGGCTGCTCCAAACCTACAGCAACGGCTGCGTCACGCACCTGCTGCGCGCAAACTACGAGGACGGGAACTGGCTCACTAGGCTCGACAGGACACTCACACAGTTTGTGGAGGACTTCCTGGGCGACGCCCTCGACGACGACTTGCGGGCGCAATGTTTCCTCCGGTTGTCGACCGACGGGGGCCTCGGGCTTGCCTCGGCCGCGCAGGCGGCGGCCGCCGCCTACCTGGGCAGCTGGGCACTAACCCTCCATAGCGTGGGCGCCTGCCTGGATGAGCCCTCCTGGGCGCGGTTCAAGGAGCGCTGCCCCTTGGTGGCCGAGGCCATAGCGAGGGCAGAGACCCGGCTACAGGCGCAGAGCGGGGGATCTCTCCAGGCCGTCGACTGGACCGGCTGCATGGGCGAACCACTGGAGGGGATGCAGGGGAAGTGGGCGGGCGACCTCCGCAGCAAGGAACGCGAGCGGCTGCTGGCCTCCCTGGGAGCAGACGACAGGGCTGACTTCCGCTCGTCTGGCGGCCCTGGCGCAGGTGGGTACTTGGAACCGCCCGTCATCCGAGAGGGAGATACACCTGCGAAAATGCCGGACGAGCACTTCCGCGTTGCCCTCAAGGAAAAGCTGCGCCCGCCGGTGTGCCCGCCAGGCGCAAGCTCCGCAAAGCCGACGGGGCGCTGTGTGGGGAGGCACTTGACCGACGCGGGCGCCATGCCCTGAAGTGCCCGTGTGGCCCCTACCGCAACAACGCACACAACGGCCTCCGGACTTCTGCGCAGGCTACCACCAGCGGACCACAGGACACGCAGCGCAGACGGAGCAACGGGTTGTTGCTTGGGACAGGGTAAACCCGCGGACAGGGCGCCTCGAAGAAGCGCGGCTCGACGTCGACACCCGCGATGCAGTGACCGGCCAGACGGTGTTCTTGGACACGAGCGTGACCTGCACACAGCGGCACCGCGCCGCGCCAGTAGGCCCGCTCCAACAAGGACGGCCTTGCCGCCACTAACGCCGAGGACGCCAAGCGGGAGCGCTACCCGCCCGAAGGGGGCCAGCTCATCCCTGTGGTCTTCGAAACAGGGGGCCGCCCGGGTGACGCCACCGTGGCGTACGTCCGCTCCTGGGGCCACGACATGGCCCCCGCGGAGCGGACAGAGGTCATCCGCTATGGCTGGCAACAGCTGAGCACGCGGCTGCACCTCGGAAGCGCCGAGGCCATCTTGGCGGCTGTGGGGCGGTAAGCGCGCTGCCGCCAGCTCAACTACCGCTGGTGCGGCAACCACCACGTCCGCCACCAGCGGCGCGACCACATCCACCACCAGCATGACAACCACTGCCGCCACCGTTAGCACCACGACGACGACCCTAGGCACGACAACCGCCACGACCAGCGCCTCGACCACGACCAGGACCGGCACGACAACCGGCGCGACCACCGCCGACAGGCACCGTGACCACGACCTCCAACAGCACGGCAGCACCGTGACCACGGCGACCACCGCCGAACCGACCGCCAACGCCCCCGACCGGCCCTCCTCTCTCATGTCCCCGCCCCTGCCGGGCCGCCCCTGCTGCCTCGCGGGCCTTGCGCCTCCCTCCCCCTCCTCCTCCTCCTCCTCCTCCTCCTCCTCCTCCTCCACCCTCCCGACAGATGAATAATAAATTCGAATTTTGCAACGCCCCAAAGTGGTTTCAGTTTAGTGCATGACCCCAGGACTGATGCTCAGGGCCGCCCCCTGAGGGCTGGTGGGAGCGCCACACCCGCGACCAGCGGAGGAGGAGGAGGAGGAGGAGGAGGAGGAGGAGGAGAAGGAGGGGGAGCAGGAGGAGGAGGAGGAGGAGGAGGAGGAGGAGGAGGAGGAGGGAGGAGGAGGAGGAGAAGGACGGGTCGCCTAAACCCTTCGGAGAAACCCTCCAGGCTGTTGCTCTCCTTGTACTCAAGGACCACATCCGAGACGTAATTTCAAGCTTCCAGTAAAGTACCGAAACAGTGCCGAGCGAGTATCGCCTCCCAGGGCCCGACGCGTGAAGAACCCTCAATTTCGGCACAATTGTTGGTGCTCGAAACTACTTCTGGCGACCAAGGCTAACGTGGGTCGGAACATCATGACCTCAGGGGTCAACCAAGACAACAGTCTGCGTTTTCGCTTCGCTCTCGCTCGCACGGGCGGGCTCGGAAAAACACCGCCAGACCGGCTGCCCAAAACAGCGCTTCGATGCAAGTCTAATGAGAGCATAACGGCCCAATCATGAAAACATAGCGACCACAGCACGAACACTAAACCGATCCACGATATTGCGAAAATGCCGGATGTTAGGAAGGAGAGTTGCGTCAGTGAATGGTGGAAGAGACGTTTCGCGCTCCCGCCAGGGCGCTCCTCAGCCAATGTGTGCGACGGCATACACGTATCGGGATGGCGGAAATTCACCCACCCTAGCCTCAACCCAGCACGACGTTGTGTCGATGATAAGTGCGAATGAGTAGGCGCCTGGCGGCCCTGGGCGCGATCCACGATACTGTCAAAACGGCGAGTTGCTCGACCCCTGCACCACCTTCAGCTCGGCCCCTCGGCGACCGCGCTCTGGGCCGCAGATGATGAGCATCTCGGAGCCGCCGCCTCCAGAGAAAGAAAAAGAAGCAGCACCAGCATGAACTTCGGGAGGTCCGCGCGGATTGATTGGATCGGCGCTGGACCCCCCTCCATTGAAGGGGCCCAGGGACACAAACAAATAGACACACATCCAAAGATGCTTAATATTGGCTATATTTCCTGAAAGTTAGTCTTCCCCTCCACTTCCCATGTATTCAGTCTTTCATCGGAATCGTTGATCATTTGTAACTATCTGTTTGCTGTTCCCCTCCTGGTCCCTGGCGCACGCAGCCCGCCATGGGCGGCGCCGCAAGGGGTCCAGCGCAGATCCAAGAAATCCGCGCGGAACTCCGATAATTTTCGCGCGTGCAGCTCCTGTTTTCGTTGAGCTGGGACCCGGGAAAATCTGTCAGGAGGAGGGGCCAAATCCGCGCCAAAACCAGTCCCCGGACCCCTCCTGGGCGGGGTCCATCTGGTGAAGTTTTTCAACCCGGGGCCCGAAAACGGCACCCAAAGGCCGTGAAAGGCAAAAAGTCTCCCCGAACCCAGAACCTCGAACCTGCCCGCCAGTCCTGCTGGCCCGCCAGAACCAGAACCAGTGCTGGGCCACCTCGGACCCCCCGACGGCTGCAACTTCGAGCCTCGCTTGCCGCTGCCCTTGTCCCCGTTCTTGCTCATGAAGAACATCAGCACGCCCCACTCCTCCTCCAGGGAGCCGAGCGTGGCGCGGCGAGCACCCGTGATGTAGCCGATGCAATCGCTGGGGATATCGAGGACCGTGCAGTCGTCGCGGTCCTCCCAATTGTCCACGTACACGGGGCCTCCGTGGGCCCTTGAAAAGATCAAGGCCCGTCTTGTTTCTGGTCCCGTCTTTCCGTGTGAGTGTGCGTCTGTGTGTGTGTGCGTGTGCGTGTGCGTGCGTGTGTGTGTGTGTGTGTGTGTGTGTGTGTGTGTGTGTGTGTGTGTGTGTGTGTGTGTGTGTGTGTGTGTGTGTGTGTGTGTGTGTGTGTGTGCGTTTGGTCTGGTTCCGTCGCCGTCCTCGTTGCCGCCGCATCGCAGTTTTTTGTTATGATTCCAGTCCCATTCTGGCGCCGTCGTTTTGTCTTGCTTCGGTACGCATTGCGCTTAGCGTTCTCATACTCAAGAGCCAGATTTCCGGAAGCGGTAAGACAAGGCCCTGACGCTTCCAGGGCCCACTAAGCACGTGGCCCTCGAGCTGCAGGAAGAGCCACTTAATGTACTCCTTCCCCTTGCGCCTCTCCTTGCAGAATGAATCAACATCGGATCGGGAGGTCGGGTCGAATCGGAACGGAATCAGGATCAGAACGGATCGGGCTGCATCGGCACGGAGTCGGAATCAAAGTGGATCGGCCGCGCCAAGATGCACAATATCGCCGTTTAAGCATCGGGCCGCATCTGATCGGAATCTCAGAATCACATCGGATCGGGCTGGCCACGATGGATATAATCGGATCGATCAGATCAAACGCGGCCCTGCCTTCTTGGCGCCGGAGAACAGGGCCGTGTGGCCGACGTACTGCACGATTGCCCCAGACGACCTCGCGAGCTTCTTGCGGGTGCCGCCCTGCTTCCCCAGGGCGTACGAGAGCTCGTCGTCCTGGAACGTCATGGTGTCTGTGCCCCACGTGCCCGTCTCGTCCTCAGAGCGGCGAGAAGCGGCATGAGCAATAAACTGTACTTTCGGAGGTCCGCGCGGAAATCTTGGACCAGCGCTGGACCCCCTCTCCCTGGAGCGCGGAGCGTGCCAGTGGCAGCGCCCGAGGCGCCGCCACGCGGGCCCAGCCCCGATTCCGAGAAATCCGCGCGACGCTCCAAACGTTCATGTTTATGCCGTTGTTTCTTCTTCGTGTCCTTGCCGATGTCCCGCTTCAATACCTCGTCGCGGATCCTGTCAAAATTGCCTGGCACCTTGGTCTCCACAGCGCTGAGGACCTCGGTGTATACATGTATGTATGTATGTATGTATGTATGTAGATATGTATATATGTATACATATAGATATATGCAGGGCAACCAGAAGCACGTCGCTGGCCCAATGGTGCAAAGGAGTGTTGAGATCTCAGGTGAGATGTCCAGAGAGTTTGTGTGTTGCTGGCTCGCGCGCGCGCGCGCGAGAATGCCCTTGGAGATCTCTGGACAAAGAGCACCCCGGACAGGTCCCGATAAACTCGGCTCATATACACAAGCAAAGATGAGAGTAAGGATGCGCGATGAGGATGCGAGGGCCTTGGACGCCCATGACAAGGCTCTTCGCACGGGGCTGGCCGTCGAGGGTGGCGAAGGAGAGACCGAAGAGGCAAGGATGCAGAGGTACCCTTGGGAAGATGACCCATCCTGACCATCGGTTTCGACTGTGCGATGTTTCTCCTGGGCATGGCCGTCAGGACCCCCAAGACGGCCCCAAGAACGCCCACGGGGACCTCCAAGAGAGCTCAAGAGCGGCCCAGGCACGGGGATCGGTGGGTGGCCCAGGCACGGGGATCGGTGGGTGGCAGGGGCGGTACAAGATGGTCTCAGGCAGCTCAGGAAACCAGAACAATTGAAGAGCAACTTCTGCCGTCACTTGCAAGGCCACCCCCCTGGTTCGAACAGGGGGGCGGTAAAACAGCTCCCCACTCCAAGTCGAGGGGGGGGGGGGAGGGGAGGGGGAGAGCCCCCTACCCGGTTAGGACCGGGAACGGGCGTGGCCCTCCCCCCTGCCAGAACTCGAGCCGATTGAGAGGGTGGCAGGGGGTCGAATTGTCCATGGTATGCCCCGGGCAGCCTCGCCCGCTTCGCTGGCAACAGGCTCAAGCAAAGCACAAACAAAGCTCAAACAAGGCTCAAGCAAAGCCCCAGCAACGCGCAAACGAAGCTCAAGCAAAGCTCACAGAACGCTCCAACTAAGTTCCAGCAGAGCTCAAACCAAGTTCACACACACAGCTCCAACAAAGCTCCACCAAAGCTCCCACAAAGCTCCAACAAAGCTCCAACAAAACAAAAACAAAGCTCATGCAACGCTCACGCAAAGCTCCAACAAACCTCAAGCAAATATGCAGCAAAGCTCACACAACGCTCCAGTAAAGCCCCAACACAGGCCAACGACAACTCTAACGAAGCTCATACAACGCTCACGCTAAGCTCTAACAAACCTCTCTCAAAGACCCAACAACTATCAAACAAAACTCAAACAATAGAATTCACACAAAGCTCAAACTAAGCTCGCACAAAGCTCCAGCATAATTCAAACAGAGCTCTAACAAGACTTCAGCAAAACTGCTCCAAAGCTCCCACAAATTTCCTACCAAGATCCAACTAAACTCTCAAACAAAGCTCAAACAAGCTCAAACAAAGCTCAAGCGAAGCTCGAACAAACTCACATACAGCTCAAACAGAGCTCGAACACATATTAAAGTGAGTTCACACAAAGCTCCAACATAACTCAGACAACGCTCCAACAAGACTTCAACACAGCTGCACCACAGCTCCCACACATCTCCGTCCAAGATCGAACTAAGCTTTCAAACAAAGCTGAAACAAGCTCAAACAAACTCAAGGGAAGCTCGAACAAGTTCATATACAGCTCAAGCAGAGATCGAACAACGATCAAACAAATCTCAAGCAAAGCTCACGCAAAGCTCCAACAAAGCTCAAAGAAGGCTCAAACAAGGCTTCATCAAAGCTCCAACAGAGCTCCCATGAAGCTCCAGACAACATCCAGCAAAGATCGGACAAAACTCCGAGCAAAGCTCGGACAAAGCTCCAGACAAAAGCTCACACGAAGCTCCGACAAAGCTAGAACAAAGCTCAACAAGCTCCTTCACAGCTCACACAAAGCGCCAACACACCTCAAACAAAGCGCCAACTAAGCTCAAGCAACGCTCAAGCAACGCCACAACAAAGCTGCAAGAAAGCTCAAAGAAAGCTACAACAAAGATGGGGCAAAGCTCGAACACAGCTCCACCAATGCTCTAACAAAGCTCAAGCAAATCCCGAACAAAGCTCAAACAAAGCTCAAACATAGGTCAAACAACGCTCCAGCAGAGCACGCATAAAGCTCAATCAAGCAATGCTCAAACAAAACTTCAACAAAGCTCCAACGACGAAGCTCAGTTGAAATCTGTTCGAACTTCGGGCTGGAAGGGGATCGTTCCACCCCTCTTCAGTTCGAACCAGGGTTGGAGAGTCTGTACCCGGTCCGAACTGGGGAAGGGGGATCTGGGCCCAAGCCCTGGTTCTGGGAAGGGGGGTCACCTCACCGCTGCAGGTTCCAACCTGGGCGGGGGGAGGGGGGGGCTTCTGTGCTCCCTTTCTGGGTTTCCAGGCAGGGGGGGTCCCCAACCACCTGGTTCCCAAGGCGGGGGGGAGGGGGGAAATTTGACCCCCCCAGGAAGGGAAACTTCGCGACCCATCAAATAATTCAAAACCGGAACTGCTTTTCATACACTTCGGATGTCCTGCCTTTTTGCTTCGTGCGGGCTGCTCAGGCCTCAAGATGGTTTCAACATCGCTCAAGATGGCTCCAAATGAAGCCCAGACAAACTCCCAGAAGGCTCCGCAGTCCCAAAACCGCCCCAGGAGAGGCGCGAGAGAGCTCCAAGAGAGCCCACCAGAGGCCCAGGGGCGGGGATCAATGGGTGGCAGGCCCCAAGCTGACCCCAAGAAAGCCCCAAGCGGCCCCAGAATAGGCCTGAGCTGGCCACAGAGTGTCCAAGACAACACCTAAAAGGGCCTCAGGAACCCCAAATCCTCCAAAAACAAAACGACTGTTCAATGACTTGGACTTTCTTGCCTTTTTGCTTCCCACAACAACGCTGAAAATAACCACGTGTGGGCTTTGACGGGCTCCATAAAAATCCCGAAGACTCCCAATTGCGCCCCAGGAGAAGCCCAAATCAGTTCCAAGAGAGGCCCCAGAGAGCTTCCAAAACGCCCCGGAACGCCACAAGACTGGCGATCCAAGGATCGTAGGTCCCAAGGTGCCCCCAAGACAATCCGCTAGGCCCCAGGATAACCCGAATCTGGCCCAGGATGGCCCAAGACAGCCCTCCAGACACCCCCAAAGGCTCAAATCACTCAAACAACTCAACTACTTTAGTCATGTGGGTGGGATTGCTCCCCTATTCGTGCAGCCCCGAGGAGCCAGAAGACAGAGCACCAACAGAGCTCCGACTACGCGCCAAACAAGACACTAACGCATCAACAAGCAAACGAATATTGGGTATCACAACTCACGGCGGCCTCAAAATCCCAACGTGGTCCGAGATATGTACCATATAATATTGCCTACTTCCAAAAACTAAGAGACCCCCGCGAGACTCCACAAGCCCCTAATACAACCCCAAGAGGCCCCTGAACACATCCCAGAGACACATCCAATGCATGCACAGAAATGAATGCCCCCTTCCGCGTGCACTTGTATGACCACTCGAGGCCTTACCCTCCCGCCCCAATGACACTTCCCAACATATCCAAACGCTGACAGAGGTGCTGCCATGTGGGCCAGGGCAATGACTACGGCAACTTCGTGTCGTGGCGACCTGGGCCTTGGTGTCTGACACCGCGTGGATCACTAAACCTTGAAAGGTTGAACGGTCGGCAACTTCTTGATCGCCAGATCTTTCCATGCCTGCCGATATCGGACCACTGGCAGCGTTCAGCCTTGAACGCCCGCGGCGGGGTCGCCGCCGCGTCGACACGACGTGGACCTGCCGTGAATAAACAAAACACCAGTTGGAGAGCGAACTAGATACGTGCGCACGCGCCCAGCCACGTACATGAGTACAGGGCCCCCGAGTCCACTAAGCCAGCCTCGCGCTATGAGCCTTTCGGGTTACGCATGCGCTCGAAACCCACACGATGCCACGTATGACGGGATCGCGTCGTGTCGACCCCGGCGTTGGTTCCTGACACCGCGGAATGGTTCAACCTTGAGCGATCGGCCGATTCCGAAACGTCAGATCGTTCAACGTCGACCGATTCTGGGTCGCCGGCGGCGTTCCACGTCTAACGCTGGCGGCGGTGTCGCCGCTGGCCGACACGGCGCGAATCTTCCATGGAAAATGAAAGCACCATCTGGAGAGCGCACAGACAACGGACGCTCATGAATACAAGCACCCCTGCTGAGAGTCTAGATTCTGTGAGTTTAATAAACCAAGCTTCACTCCGAGCGTTTTCTTCAACAATCGCTCAAATCCAGAAATACGTGTTTTTACGAACAACAGAAAAAGCTAGAAGAAAACCTTCGAACCCACGGAGTGTCCGTATACCTACGTCATTATCTCTGGACGGTTTCCCCTGGGGCCGTATGCGACCCGAGGAGGAGGAGGAGGAGGAGGAGGAGAAGGTGGAGGAGGAGGGGGAACGGGAGGAGGAGAAGGAGGAGGAGAAGGAGGGAGGAGGAGGAGGAGGAGGAGGAGTAGGAGTAGGAGTAGGAGGAGGAGGAGGAGGAGGAGGAGGAGGAGGAGAAGGACGAGTCGCCTAAGCCCTTCGGAGAAACCCTCCTCCTCCTTCTCCTTGTCCTCCTCCTCCTCTTCGAACCTGTCTCTCCTGGCACGCAACAGCGAGAAGAAAGCAGCGCTCGGGACCTTGAGCTCCGCACCACGGCGCCCGTCGACCTGTCCGAAGATGGCCAGCTTCTCGTAGTCCTTGCCCCGGCTTCCCTTGCCGACCTCGCAGAAAAACATCAGCACGCACCACTCTTCCTCGGCGTTGCTTGCTCGGAAGCTGGGCGAGGGCTGGCAAATCCGTGGCTGCTAAAATGGTCTTCCAGGAAGAAAAGAGCATACTCCAGGAACAAACTCGGCGCACTAACTAGTAAACGGGCTGCATCCTGGAAGAAACAATCATTTCCCGGACATCCTGTTTAGCAGCCACGGGCTTGCCAGTCTTCGCCTGGCTTCCGACTTGCGACGGAGGGGGATATTTCTACGATTCGCAATGACGGCCATTACCGGGGAAGCTCCCCCCCGTGTGGCTACCTACAACTAGGTCGGGCATACCCCCCTACAGGCGGAGTTTGAACGAAAACCTAAAAATATGCAAAACACTTTCAAACATACGTAACAAATAATCTGCAAATCACCCCCAGACTATTTTTGACTATCTTTAAGCATTCCTCCTGTAGAGGGACACGCCCGACTTAAACCTACCACACCACCCCAAGCCAACCCGAAGACTCAGATTTCGGTCTGGGCGGGGGCCACGGGCTCCGCATGCACCTTGCCCGCAGCGGAGGCCCGCGCGATGGAAAGCGGCACGCGCGCACCTCCAGCGCGCGCCAATCCCGCCGCGCGCCATGAGCGCGCGCGCGAAGGCATCAGCGCACGCACGGAATCCCAGCGCGGGCGCGAGCCTTCCGGGCGCGCGGAAAACGCGCGACGACAAATCGCTCGACCAAACCACGTGACAAGTTTGCCCCATGATCCGCATTCCTTTGAACTTGCAGTGCGAATGTAGGGGGCCACATGCGAACCCTACCCCCACCCCCCACGATTTCTGAGGAGGGTGGGGTTCACTTCGCTCGGGAGCTCCCGAGCGAAGTGAACCCCACCGCACTCCTTGGTCCGGGTTCCTTTGAATTTGCAGTGCGAATGGCGTTTCCGCAGTTTGCGCTGCGCGTCTTTCACAAGCACGTTGTCGTCGGCACCTCGGCTTATGTGGCGGCCCTGCGCCGCTGGCGGATTTTTGTCGTCCGCGTTTTCTGCCGTCGCTGGCAATATATTTTGCCTTTTGAATTTGTCGTCGGCCATTTTTGGTCGTCGATCCTTTTTGTTCAGCTGCCGACTTGTTCTTGTTCTTTTCGTCTGGTCTCACTGCTCATTGGTGTACTTCACGGCCAGATTGGAAGTCGTACTCGGGCTCTTCAACATGTGTGGGGCCCTTCGCGGCCAGATCCGTCTTCCATACCTTTCACGTTTCCCGCGTCCCCATCGCCCTTAGAAACGATGCCCAGGCGTTGCTCATGGAAATTCGAATCTTGGTCCTCGCCCACCCCCTTTAGAGACCGCGCACATCCGCTGGGGGGGGGCTCAGCGCTAACAGCGTCTGAAACGCGTGAGGGGCGACGCGGCTTCATTGATAAATCGATGAATGTATTTGTTTGTTGTTTGTCTCTCGTCGTTTTGTGATCCTATGGGGAGGGGGGCTCTGATAATTCCCAGACGGCACCGGCGCAAATCGTGACGTTACCAGCCTCCTCGCCCACCCCCGCCCACGTGGTAACGGTCGTTATCGCCAGGGGATCGATCTTCGGGGACCTCGGCAGGCGGCGGATATGAATACAAAATTTGGCCCTCCCAAGGCCCGAGGAAAAATCATCCGTACGCACCGTCTGCCGGAGCCTCCGACGAAGGTCGATCTCCCAGGCGGCGGTTGCGGAGAAGTCCCCGCCTCGGATAGGAAGGGCTTGCGAATAGATCAGCTGCATCAGAGGATAAACACCACCAGACACTGTGAGCTGGCGGGCGCAAGAGTGCAATTACCCCAGAGAAAAGCCCCAATCAGCAGATGGTTTGATCGATAAGGAGATCGGCCGGGAACCCGGGAACCCGGAACCCACCGAAATCGGCCCGGAACCAATGTCGACCAGGAACCCAGGAACCCGGGAACCCTGCCGGCGACCAAAATCGGCGGGAACGTCTCGCCAAATTTTTCAATTACCGCTAGGACCTCTTCAGTGCAAGCACTGATTGGGGAGAAGACGGTTAAGGCGCTGCCAGGGCTGCGGGCGGCACGCGCCGGGAACTAATCGAGGCACAGCCGGGGGAAAGAAGAGAAGAGAGCAGCGACGGGGCGGGAGCCGCTAAGGGCGTGCAGTCCGCCGCGGGGGTGCGGGAGCAGGGCGCCAAGACAGCACCATGCACAAACTCTCGGAGGTTCGCGCGGGCCTGCACGGTTTCCCCCGGGGCCGTAGGCGACACGAGGAGGAGGAGGAGGAGGAGGAGGAGGAGGAGGAGGAGGAGGAGGAGGAGGAGGAGGAGGAGTAGGAGGAGGAGGGGGATGGGGAGGAGAAGATGGAGGATGAGGAGGAGGAGGAGGAGGAGGAGGAGGTGACAAACCGTGCGGTGACCCCGAACCCCCCCCAACCTCACCGCACGGTCCGTCAACGCACAATTTTGGGACCTCGGATGCCCCAGTCGCCCGAGACGTCCTCGGAGAACGACCCGAGTCCCAAAACCGTGCGGTGACCCCGAATCCCCACCGACTCACCACATGGTGTGGTTACCACCCCGTTTGGGGACCCCCGATTCTCTAGAAGAAGAAAAGACGCCATGAACATAACCTTCTGGCGCTCCGCGCGGATTTTTGGATCCGCGCCGAGCGCCAACAGTTTTTGCCTATGGCGTTTTTCCCCACGTTTTTCGTGGGGTTCTGGTTTTTCCCCACATGCTTCGTCGTGGGGTTCTGGTTTTCTTCACTGCCGCGCCGCACCCGCGTCTCACACACCTCCCGCCTCCTCACCCACACACTCGCACACAGCCGCACGCAGGCACACATTCGCACATACAAGACGCATGTTCACTGCATCATACACCCAAGACGTCTGCACGACATACTGGGCAACACGTGAGATATGTCCCGATATGGCCGCACACGCATCATACACATACACACGGCAAGCCATGCGGCAGGCGAGCAGGCGTGGCACTTCCTCGACACCATAGGGGGTGCGCAGAGGGTGGTCCCTCAGCGGGGCCTCTATCCGTGACACGCTCGCAGGGCGTGGCAGGCGCGGCACTTTCTCGACACCGCTGGGGGGGCGCGAAGGGTGGTCCCTCAGCGGGGCCTCTATCCGTGACACGCTCGCAGGGCGTGGCAGGCGTGGCACTTCCTCGACACCATAGGGGGTGCGCAGGGGGTGGTCTCTCACCGCGGCCGCTATGCACGACAGTCGTCCAGGCACAGCAGGCGTGGCACTTTCTCGACACCACAGGGGGTGCGCAGGGGGTGGCCCCTGAGCGCGGCCGCTATCCGTGACACGCTCGCAGGGCGTGGCAGGCGCGGCACTTTCTCGACACCACTGGGGGGGCGCAGAGGGTGGTCCCTCAGCGGGGCCTCTATCCGTGACACGCTCGCAGGGCGTGGCAGGCGCGGCACATTCTCGACATCACATGGGGGTGCGCAGAGGGTGGTCCCTCAGTGCGGCCTCTATCCGTGACACGCTCGCAGAGCGTGGCAGGCGCGGCACTTTCTCGACACCACTGGGGGGGCGCAGAGGGTGGTCCCTCAGCGGGGCCTCTATCCGTGACACGCTCGCAGGGCGTGGCAGGCGCGGCACATTCTCGACACCACATGGGGGTGCGCAGAGGGTGGTCCCTCAGTGCGGCCTCTATCCGTGACACGCTCGCAGATCGTGTCAGGAGTGGCACTTTCTCGACACCACATGGGGGTGCGCAGAGGGTGGTCTCTCAGCGCGGCCTCTATCCGTGACACGCTCGCAGGGCGTGGCAGGCGTGGCACTTTCTCGACGCCACAGGGGGTGCGCAGAGGGTGGTGTCCCTCAGCGCGGCCTCTATCCGTGACACGCTCGCAGATCGTGGCAGGAGTGGCACTTTCTCGACACCACAGGGGGTGCGCAGAAGGGTGGTGGTCCCTCAGCGCGGCCTCTATCCGTGACACGCTCGCAGATCGTGGCAGGAGTGGCACTTGCTCGACACCACAGGGGGTGCGCAGAGGGTGGTCCCTCAGCGCGGCCTCTATCCGTGACACGCTCGCAGATCTTGGCAGGAGTGGCACTTTCTCGACACCACAGGGGGTGCGCAGAGGGTGGTCCCTCAGCGCGGCCTCTATCCGTGACACGCTCGCAGATCGTGTCAGGAGTGGCACTTTCTCGGCACCACAGGAGGTGCGCAGAGGGTGGTCCCTCAGCGCGGCCGCTATGCACGACGGTCGTCCAGGGAATCGCAGGCGTGGCACTTTCTCGACGTCATTGAGGGTGCGCAGGGGGTGGTCCCTCACCGCGGCTGATATGCACGACGGTCGTCCAGGGCATAGCAGGCGCGGCATTTTCTCGACACCATAGAGGCTGCGCAGGGGGTGGTCCCTCACCGCGGCAGCTACGCACGACGGTCGCCCAGGGCATAGCAGGCGTGGCACTTTCTCGACACCATCGAGGGTGCGCAGGGGGTGGTCCCTCACCGCGGCCGCGCGCTGGCTCGAATCTGTCCTCGACGGAGGATAGAAGGCTAGGAAGAGGGAGGAGGTTCAAGCAATATGGCGTTGGATGACACAAAGGGGAACATTCGCGACGAGGGCTGAGAACGCAGAATTGCGCATATATTATAAACTTAAGCAAACACACAAGATTTAAGTTAAGTATGTGGGGCTCCTCGGTAGCGTAAGCTTCCCTGCCGCGCCGCACCCGCGTCTCACACCTCCCCCCTCCCCTTCTCCTTCTCGCACAACACAGCACAGCACAGCACGGCACGGCACGGCACGGCACATCACAGCTCACCGCACAGCAGCAAAGCACAGCACAGCACAGCACAGCATACCACACAAGGCATTCCTTCGACGCCACAAGGGGGTGGGGGTGCGCAGAGGGTGGTCCCTCAGCGCGGCCTCTATCCGTGACACGCTCGCAGATCGTGGCAGGAGTGGCACTTTCTCGACACCACAAGGGGTGCGCAAAAGGTGGTGGTCCCTCAGCGCGGCCTCTATCCGTGACACGCTCGCAGATCGTGGCAGGAATGACACTTGCTCGACACCACAAGGGGTGCGCAGAGGGTGGTCCCTCAGCGCGGCCTCTATCCGTGACACGCTCGCAGATCGTGGCAGGAGTGGCACTGTCTCGACACCACAGGTGACTGCCTACCAGACCACCCCAACCCAACCCGAAGACCCGAATTTCGGGTTGGGGGGGTAAGGGTTCCACATGTGTTTTTTCGGTGTTTCCCGACCCCCCCCCCACTGGAAATCGACGGTGAATCTGAGCCTTCGGGTTGGGTTGGGGTGGGTTGGTGGGTGGTGAACAGGGGGTGCGCAGAGGGTGGTCCCTCAGCGCGGCCTGTATCCGTGACACGCTCGCAGATCGTGGCAGGAGTGGCACTTTCTCGACACCACATGGGGGTGCGCAGAGGGTGGTCCCTCAATGCGGCCTCTATCCGTGACACGCTCGCAGATCGTGTCAGGAGTGGCACTTTCTCGACACCACAGGGGGTGCGCAGAGGGTGGTCCCTCAGCGCGGCCTCGCCTCTATCCGTGACACGCTCGCAGATCGTGGCAGGAGTGGCACTTTCTCGACACCACAGGGGGTGCGCAGAGGGTGGTCCCTCAGCGCGGCCTCTATGCGTGACACGCTCGCAGATCGTGGCAGGAGTGGCACTTTCTCGACACCACAGGGGGTGCGCAGAGGGTGGTCCCTCAGCGCGGCCTCTATGCGTGACACGCTCGCAGATCGTGGCAAGAGTGGCACTTTCTCGACGCCACAGGGGGTGCGCAGAGGGTGGTCCCTCAGAGCGGCCTCGCCTCTATCCGTGACACGCTCGCAGATCGTGGCAGGAGTGGCACTTTCTCGACACCACAGGGGGTGCGCAGAGGGTGGTCCCTCAGCCCCGCCTCTATCCGTGACACGCTCGCAGATCGTGGCAGGAGTGGCACTGTCTCGACACCACAGGGGGTGCGCAGGGGGTGGTGGTCACTCAGCGCGGCCTGTAGCCGTGACACGCTCGCAGATCGTGGCATGAGTGGCACTTGCTCGACACCACAGGTGGTGCGCAGAGGGTGGTCCCTCAGCGCGCCCTCTATCCGTGACACGCTCGCAGATCGTGGCAGGAGTGGCACTTTCTCGACACCACAGGAGGTGCGCAGAGGGTGGTCCCTCAGCGCGGCCGCTATGCACGACGGTCGTCCAGGGCATAGCAGGCGTGGCACTTTCTCGACACCACTGGGGGTGCGCAGGGGGTGGTCCCTCACCGCGGCCGCTGGCTGGCTCGAATCTGTCCTCGACGGAGGATAGAAGGCTAGGATGAGGGAGGAGGTTCAAGCAGTATGGCGTTGGATGACACATAGGGGAACATTCGCGACGAGGGCTGAGAACGCAGAATTGCACATATAAGATAAACTTAAGCAAACACTCAATATTTAAGTTAAGTATGTGGGGTTCCTCGGTAGCGTAATTTTCTGCTTCGACTCACGTCTTCGAGCAGAGGGGGGGGTCGCAAATCAGCTGCATGCACAGCTGGTTGCCCGGGCGCCTCCCAGCGTCTGGATACGGCGATTTATCGAGGGAGGCGCGCAGTGCGGCGGGGTCGAAAAGAGCCGCGTATAGAAATCTCGATACACCCTCCTTTCCCCATTCCCCCCCGGTTTCATCCGACCCACTCCTCGATGGTACGGAGGAAGTTGCCAGCGCGACCAGTCACAAACCCAACGGCCTCCTGGGGCACCAACAGCATGGTCAGGTCGCCGTCGTCGTAATCATCGGTGATCGTGACTGGTCCGGTGCGCTGCGCCATGACTCCCTCTGCGTACTTCTTGCCCCTCCTTCGCTGCATCTTCGACCCGCGGAACTCCAGTATGAGGTCGCGCTCGAAGAGCTCGATCTCGCAGTCCGCCACGCGGGCGATCTTCTCCTTTCGGGAGGGTAGCAAACACATGTGAACCCTACCGAGGCAGGTCCGAATTCTGACTCTAAGGATTTGAAGAACGCCTGCGGCCAGTGAAACTCCGGCGGGGTTGTCGATACCTCAGCTTCGAGTTGACCCGCAGGGGTAGGGCTCACGAGCGGTCGCAGAGAGAGGGGTAGGAGGCACCGCCGACCCAGAACTCTGAATGCGGGCCGGAGGTGTTTCGCCATCTCTGGCCTCCTGGGGGGCCGTTCTCGGGAGTTGTGGGCCATCGAACATCGATCCCAGATGGAAGTTGTCCCCAGGAAAGGGGTCGAGATATACGTGGCCGACAGCAGAACACTTGAACCCACAAAGCTTGGCATCTCCTGCTTAGCGCGGGGGTTGCTAATTAAGGGTATGGGAAGAGGTGGGTTACATGCGGCCTCGCCGACTTTTATAAGTGCGTTGCAAGTGTCATATATGATCCAGGGTCGAGGGCCCACGGCCCCCCCCCCCCCCAGATGGTATGGTCCCAGGATTCCTCGGCCCCCCCCCCCCAGATGGTATGGTCCCAGAGACGACGACGACGACGAAGACGACGACGACGACGACGACGACGGCGACGACGACGACGGCGACGACTACGACGACGGCGACGACGATGACGACAACCACGACGACGACAACGACGGCTGCGGCGGCGACGACGCCGGCGGCGGCGGCGACGACGACGATGACGACGATGACGACGGCGACGACGACGATGACGACGACGACGAGGACGACGACGACGAGGACGACGACGACGACGACGAGGACGTCGAGGACGACGACGACGACGACCTCTGAACCACCACAGCACCACACCACATCCACAGGGGGGGGAGGGGGCACCGCAGCGCAGCACCACGCCACGCCCACCTCTGAACCACCACAGCACCACACCACATCCACAGGGGGGGGGGGGGGAACCGCAGCGAAGCACCACGCCACGCCCACAGGGGGGGGCGGGGGGGACCATCGCGCGGAGGGGGGGGCCCAATGGCATCAGCATTGGGGGGGGGGGGGGCCAAACCCTGGACCATATATAGGCGGCTTGAGGGAGGTCACGATTGGGGAGCAGTGTGCTCCGCCCACTTCGCGGGTTGATCTAGCCGCCCAAAGCCAATTGGGGCATTCGTAGCCCGCTCATGAGCTAGTTTAGGCCATATGTGACATAAGTATACCTTACCCACATTCGCATTCACCGATCACCCCCCTATCCCCTAAGCAATCACCCCACCGATGCAAATGTGGCCGCATTGTTGGCATCCGCCGGCTGCCGCCGCCGGAGCCGCCGCCACCGTTTCAACTCCGCCGGATTCCGCGGGCCTTCCGCCGCCGCTGATGGAGAGCTGCAAACTCCGCGAGCCCTCGAAGGCGAGCGCCCCTTCTGGAGCGCAGAGCGTGGCCCGCGGATTGCACAGATCAGTGCGGCGAAGGCCTGGGGCCCAACGCGGATCCAAGAAATCCGCGCGGGGCGCCAAAAGCTTCTGCTTATGCGGTTGTCTCTTCCTTTGGCGTGCGGGGCCACATCTCGGCCTGCGCGGCCCCCTCTGCCGGCCGTGTGCACCGAGATATGGCGCGCGTGCGGGCCCGGCGGCTTGCCTCCGCTGCGCGCCCCCAGAGTCAGAAGGGAACAAGCACACACACACAGACACAAGTAATCGTCGATTCCCAAGAAAATATGCGAAAATGTGGGATGTGGGGGGAAGACGGAAATCCCCCAAATATGGAAAATATAAAGAATCCTGGGGGTTGTGTGTATATATTTGTGTGCCCCTTGGCCGCTTCACGAACAAGATCCCCTCTGGGAATCTCCAACGCCTGGACGCCCCGCGCCGGTCGGACGAACCCGTTGCCCAGGAGCATCCGCAGTCCATCGAAGGATCCAAAAGTCCACCCCGAGAAGCAGCCCTGCACCCTCTGAGAAGCAACCCTTCACCCAGAAGACAAACGTCACTTGCTGGCTTGCCCTCCCCCGGGCCCTCAGGCCCAGGGGAGGGGGGCTCTGTGAAGGCGGGGTTGGCGTAGCATCTCACGTAGCCGAGCGGCGCGGCCGAAACCAGCTGCACGCGGCAAATCTCGCAGCTCACCATCTCCCTGTCTTCTCTCTCTTGTCCGACCCGAGCCACCAAGAGGCCAAGGCCTCTGGAAGCCCCCGAAGGCCCCCCAGACAACAGTAATTTTGAAAACGTTGTTCAGCCGCAGCGTTGGCGACCGCACGCCGCGCTCAGAGCCTAGGCGGGGCCATTGCTGGGCGAACTGCGCACAAGACAACGCGAAAAAGAAGAGGACGGCCGCCGAGGAGAGAAGGAGAGGAGCATAGGAAAACGTCCGCACACGAGTCCCCAGAGGCCCCCACAGGAGCCCGAAGGCCTTCGTCTTGCCGCCCTTGCCCAGGATGAAGGCGGCGTCGTCGTCCGTGATCTTGATCGACTCCACGCCATAGTCGTCAGGCTTCTTGTTTCGACCTGAGGGGAAACAGTAGGGGGGACTGGTTCAGGGAATGACGCATCGGCATGGAATCGGCGATGCATCGCCGATAGATCGGTGATGGGCCCCCGATAGCAAAAAAAACGCTCCTGCGGGTGGTCTATCGGGCCCGTATCTCGGGCATACGCTAACGTGGATTAGGGAATAGAGGATCTGGCGCGCGGGCGACAGATCCATGGGTCGAGGAATGTCCCCTTCGACAAATTAAGCCAGTGCCACTTCATCTGGCGACGGAGCGCGACGAATTTGCATGGAAGTGGGAACCGTCACTCATCCACGCTGCCTTGATCCATGGTCGCGTTTCCTTTCGTATCGTCGGTGATTTGTGCATTTGGGACCGATCTTAGCTAACCCGATACGCAACACGCAGCCCGTAGCGTGCAGACACGACGCTCAAGACATAGACTGAAAACGCAGGTATGGCGCGCTACGGTCGCTAAAAAGTGGCCCAACTTCGTGCCGAACCAAAACGCAGCGTGCTAACACCGACGTTTGAGCACGGCACGTGCTGCGCTTCAAAACGGGCGTTTCAGGGCAGCTAAGGGGCCAATGCATCCCCCCTTGTCCCACCCTGACGTTCCCCCTGACGACCGCCCCGATCCTCGCTGCGGCTCCTGCTGCGGCTGCGCTGCCTGCTGCGGCTGCGGTCGTCGTCCCTGCCCCGGCCTCTGCTGGCACTGCGGCTGCGCCCCATGGCACCCGGGCTCCTCTGTGGATTGGTGGCGCGCAGGAAGGGGCGATTAGGAAGCTCGCCACGGCCAGTTTTCCGAAATGCTCGCCTCGACGACGAGCAAGAGTGACCCTTGGTAAGAGTGACCTTTGGTGCAAGGCTTTTCGGGGCCTCGGGGGGAACAAGCACAGTTGCTCAAGACGCCACTACCGCGCCGCGTTCGGCGACCGAGGGACCCCGGTGGGCCCGCACCAAAGGTCACTTCGGCGAAGGGTCACTGTTAGGCGTAGCCGATCGCCCCTGGGCACACGGGGACGCCAGAAGACAGCTCAGGAGGAGAAGGCGGCCCGAGGGGAGTGGTCGAAGCCCTGGGGGCCAACGGCACAAACAAAAATGACAACGTCGGGGGACCCTCCCCCCTCACTCTTCCGGACCTTCCGCCTTAAATTTCCGCACCTTTCTCACATGGATCTCTGTGGGTTTCCTCGAATTGCGCACGGCTTCCATGAATTTCAATGAATTCTTCGCAGCTTCCGCGGAGGTCGGAAGGTATGGAAGGTGGAGGTGGATGGGAGAGCTAGGGCGGGAAGCCTCCTGAGGTGGGGGAATCTGTGGAACGGGGACCGTGACTGGGCCTCTTCCTGGGAGGGCTCCGGAGAGGCAGCTTGAGAGGGCGCCCCCCTTCCCTCGACATCCGACGTCGCGAT